TCTCCTCTCTCCCGTAGTGTGTCCTCTCTCTCTCTTCCTGTACCTTTCTGCAGGTTGCCCTGGCCCTGGAGCTCTATGTCTCTGACGAGCAGTCACCGGCCACATCGACCTGATCAGTGTTTGATTGTTGTGTCTTGTTGCTTTTCTTCTTTTGTCTCTCCTCTATCCACTCACCCCAACCGGTCGAGGCAGAAGGCCGCCCACCAAGAGCCGGGGTCTGTCGGAGGTTTCTTCCGTTAACGGGAGTTTTTCCTCCCCACTGTCGCCAAGTGCTTGCTCAAGGGGGATTTGTTGGGTTTTCCCTATGTAATAATATTGATAACAGTAAGGTCTAGACCTTACTTTGTAAAGTGTCCTGAGATGACTTTTGTTGTGATTTGGCGCTATATAAATTTGATTTGATTTGATTTGATTTGATTTTATGGCCTGTTTCAGTATTTGTTCCATGTGTGGATCAAGCAACCAGATGACCTCTGGTGCTGAATTTGTGGTTTGAAAGTGTGGATATGGGGTTGGGTTCAGGTAACCAGTTGTCAGTCAGTACAGTATCTGGAAGTAATCTCTTATTCTTATTCTCTTATTATATCTCTTGTCTCTCCTGGTTGGTTTGTATGGTCTTATTCTCACATGACTGACTTTTAAATAAAGGTCATGACAAGGCCTACTTTCAAATGTTAATGAAATGGTAAATCATGATTAATGAGTAAATTCATGTTGTCTTCAGGTGAAATCCTGGGGTGCCACCTCTAACCGCTGCTAAAGACACAGTGTCTTGGGTTCATGTTACATTTTAGACGTTTTTACACCCATTTAGTAAATGTGGGTCTTCTGCTTTGAACAGTTTGATTGACATGTTTTCAGGCATTTTATGATCCAGAAATTGCTGCAGAGTCCTGAGAGCAGGAAGGCAGGAAGCACACACACACTTCCTGCTTGTGTGCGTGTTTTGTGTAAATCTTCTCAATGTGCTGCAGCTGCCTCTCCTCACATCTCAGCATAACCCTGGTAATAGAATTACCCCCCTCTTTCTGTGTGTGAGCTGTCTCTGATGTGATTGGTTTAGAAGTCACGGGGGTCGTCTGTGATTGGCAGACAGGTGAGAGAGGGGGGCAGGAGGTTAACAAGAAGGGGAAACACCAGGACTCGAAGCACAACTGTGTGTGTTGAAATAGCAGCAGTGTTTTCCATGTCCTCATTTCTCAGTATCTCTGCCACAAACCCGCCAGTCTCAACAAGAGGTGGCAATAAAAAAAAAAAAAAATTTTAAATAAAGAATTGGGGGAAAAGTACCAGAAACAGCAGATTTGTGAAATCAAAGTCAAAAACCTGAAAAAACAACACAAATGTTTCAAAAACACAAAGATGTTCAACTTACTGCAGGAGAAAGACGAAAACCAGCAAATCTTCCCATTTGAATGTCACATTTTCATTGTTTCCTGCTGGTAAGCGGACTTGAAGTGATTGATGATCAGATGTGTTGCAGATAAATCTTCTGTCCGGTGGTTTTATCTCATAAAGCCATGAAACAAGTGTTCATCAGCTCATAGGAACATCCATGAATGAACTCATCAGTGTGTATTGTCCTCGCTCGCTCAGCCTCTTCCTCCTCCTCCTCCTCCTCTTCATCTCCCCACGATGATTAAAACTCTTGTTTTTCTAATCAATTCTCCTCAAGGACCATTGATCTGCTGACAAACACACACACATACTCAGCGGACACACACTTGTAACCTGGAAATGAAATAAAACCAGTCTCTTCTCAGATGAAATTGATCTCCATTTGTGTGAAGGTCGATACCAACAGAGGAAACCGCTCAGCTTCCTCATCAAGGCTCAAGTCCTTTGCAGTTTTGAATGGCACACATCCTTTTATCTGCAGCTGCATTGATCAATCTACTGATCAGTCCTTTTGTTTATCACGTCAGAATGTAATTTCAGTATATGAAACTGACTGTGAGACATTGTCTAAAAATGATTAAAACAATGAAAATAGTTGCAGATAAATTTTCTAGCGATGGATTAATTGAGCAGCTAGCAAAAATAAATCTGACAGTTTTATGGTCAAACTAACCACACTTTAGTTTATTTTCAGTTATTTTAACAATGGTAAAGTTACAGGATTTGCCCTTCTCAGAGTTAAATGTGACGAAACATATTTTTAGATCTAGTGTGATAAAAACCAGCCCTGGCCTCAGTGTAGAGCAGCATTGACAAGCAACACTGTTTGATATGAAAACAGGTATTAAACACTGGAAGGCAGGAAAAGAAAAGAAACTGTGACCTATTATTGTTTTCTCTTCTTAAAACTATCTTTTTTATAGGGTTTTCTTTAATTTTTTATTAGTTTCATCTTTTTATTGCCACTTTTAGCACTGTCTGTTCGCTTCTATCTGTCTGAAATGTCTGATTTGTTGGCTAATTCTTATTTTTTGTGTTTTTGAACCATGAAAAGCACTTTACAAGTTTGTTTTGGAAAGTACTGCTTAAATGAAGTAGCTATTATCATTAATGACTTAAGCGAGAGGGTGATTGAGATAGATACTGAACGAGAGAGAGATTCAGTAACTGAAAACTTTACAACAACAAAAGAGGAATAATTTAAATTTCACAGAAACATCAAATAACAGACACAAAGCTAAGTGAGTACAAGGCGGCTGGTGTGACTGACAGCTGTGTCCACAACACAAGCACTCACAAACACACACACACACACTTGGTTTCAAAGCTTTAAAGGGAACACTTTATTTTGAAGTCTTGTTGGCACATTTGTACACACACGCACACACTATTTTACATCAGCACTGATGAATTATGGATTTGCTGCCCTAATATACCAATGAGAGCCTTTTTTTATCTCCTTGCATTTCATGTTTTTTGCCCACTAACAATCTTTTTATTGGTCTATGTCGTTTTTCCTCTTTATTTTGAAATCTCTCAGCTCTATTTGGAAACCTTACATAAGCTTTTATTTTGACATCTCAGTCTTAGCTGAGGGTGCAACACATGCTGACTGTTTTCATCTGTTGTTGCTCCTCACAAAAAACATGGTTTTATTCTGAAATCTACACAACTTCTAATGAAATAGCTAATATTTGATGCTTAAAAACCAAAAATAATTTGAAAAGTTTTAATTCTCTAGTTTTATATGGTGCACATATTGCTGTTCTTCTGATTTGTAACAATTTTGGCAGTTTTTAAAATTTTGTTCTTGAAATGAGGTTCCTGTTCAAAGGTTTTTCCAGGATGTTATGGCTTTTATTTTGTTTTTGTGTTTAACAAGGTGTACTTGTCTGCAGGTTACCCTTTCCTATTCATGAACGCATTGGGACGCAATGACATTTATGTTGTCTTTTTGTTTGTTAACGTGGTGTACTTCCTGTTTGCAGGTTCCTCCTTCTTATTCTTATTCGTTAACACACCGGGCCGATATGGCGGTCAGCGTGCTCAGCTGCTTCTGCCGCCACTCAAAGAGAACGACACGCACTGCGTCAGTTTCTTGTTTTACCAGGAAGGAGGCCGCGAGGGTGCCACGCCCGTCACGCTCAATGTCTACATCAAAGGTACAAATACTACAACACGGTACTGCAGTGCTACACACTAGGGCTGTCAGTTTTTATTTTTAATTTAAAACATTATAGTATAGTAAAAGAATGAATATTTGAACTGTAATGATCTGCTAAAATCCAAAGATGTAATGCGTGTCAATAAGCGCTTGATGTAATTTGTCCTCCCGTCCAGCAGCTTGACCAGTTACAGTCCTGATGACCTCACTAAAGTGAACTACTAGCATTATGTTTGCCAGGACAAAGCACAGGATAGTAATCAGCGGCGCTGTGCTGATCGGACATTAACAACACTGCAGCCGCATAAACATTGTGTGGCAGTATTTCGGGTTCTGCGCTGCAGAAGGCAAAATGATCAACAAAGATAAAGCGATTTGCCAACTCTCCAAAAAAGCAGGTGTCCTTACTCAGGTTTGACAACTCGCTACCCAGTTTATAATACACAGTATTATAAGTACCTGATCTGACCTGGGGCGTGAATACCTCTGGACTGCTTAAAAAGGCCCAGCAGAGACTGTACTTCCTACAGGTGCTCAGGAAGAGATTGCTGGTGTCCTTCTATCGCTGCTCCATTGAGAGCATCCTTACATACTGTATATGTGTATGGTACAGCAGCAGCACAGTGGCTCAGAGGAAAACACTCCAGAGGGTCATTAATATGACCCAGGAGATCGTCGGCTGCCTTGTCCTCACTCTGGAAGAACTCCACAGTTCCTGCTGCCTCAAAAAAGCTTAGAATGCTTCACACCCAGGACATTCACTCTTTGAACTGCTGCTGTCAGGTAGACGGTTCAGAGCAATCAAATCAAGGACCACTAGATTAAAGAGTAGTTTTACCCAACAGCCGTTACCACACTCAATGCTGAAAAAATATAATATGCCTGTGTGTGTGTGTGGGTGTGTGTGTGTGTGTATTCCACCATTAGAAATAGTGTGGAAACAACAGTTTGAAAACATACAAGATTTATCCAAACAAGCTCTTTTCTGGGGATCGTGTTGATTTTAATCAATAAAGCTGATCTTATTTTGTGTTGGGACAGCCCAGCATCTAGGTCACTGCTGTATTTCGTTTTGCAGTCTTAAATTTGTACTGTAGTGCTGAGTCAATGTTGGTCATGTCACAAGACACACGCCCCTGCGCTGGGACAGACAACACCTCACTCAAGCACAGGCACACGCCACTGTTTTCTTCCTTAGCATAGTGGGGAGCGTCCCCGCCTGCCACGCGGGACAACGGGCTTCGATTCCCCGACGCGGACTTGTCACAGTGCGTTGGCCAGAACGGCCGTGTCCCAACCCGAAGCGAACAACCTTCTAATCTCGGTGCCTGCAGTCCAAGTGTCCATGTGTCCTTGGGCAAGACACTCAAACCCCCACCCCACCCCCGTTGCCCCCCATCTGCCAAATAAGCAGACACAGACTCATTGAGATGACCGTGCCTGTCGCATCATATCATGAACTTAACCTTCTGCCAGAATT